TCTAGAATATGAAGACTTGGCAGAGAAAACCAATGGGCACGACCCAGTGACACATAGTCAGGAAAGCCTCCTCACCCCCTTACACCACATATCTGGATGAATTAATTCCATGTGGATGAAAATGTTAAGTGGCCAAAAGGAGAGATAGAAAGAAAAATACTTAGCAGAAGAAAAAGTGGAAGAATTCCCCTCCTTCTTTGGAACGGAGGGAAACGTACTACTTGACTAACCATTTCAGAAATGGAGGGAAAAAATTAGATTTAAGTACATTAAAATAATTTCCTACATGACCTAGACCAAAATCGAACAGGCTCTCCATAACCAGACTGAAAATCATTTTTGGAAAAACATTTCTAAGTTCTACAAAATAGAGACGAGTATCTCTAATACATGGATTTAAAAAAAAATTAATAAAAGATGGTCACCATACTGGTCAAAGGATGGAGATGAGCCAGTAGGGCAACGTCACCAGCTCTAAGAGAAATCCAGCTTAAAACAAGGGATTCTAGTGTATCCGTTGGCCTGTCCTCACCTGTCAGAACAGGGCAAATTCAGTCGCTCGCTTGATAATACCCTCTGTTGGGAAGGCTGTGAAAACTTTTTTTTTTTTTTTTTTTTGGTTTTTCGAGACAGGGTTTCTCTGTGTAGCTTTGCGCCTTTCCTGGGACTCACTTGGTAGCCCAGGCTGGCCTCGAACTCACAGAGATCCGCCTGCCTCTGCCTCCCGAGTGCTGGGATTAAAGGCGTGCGCCACCACCGCCCGGTGAAAACTTGTTTTTAAAAATGGAGTTCCATTTCGTGTTCAATACATGTATAATACACGTGCAGTGTTGGAATCAGGTTAGATATTTACCCCTGATAGCTTTTCAAAAAAACGCGTTTTTATTTACTCCGTGAGAATTTCATGCGTGTATGTGGTGTATTTTAACCATAGCCACCCACTTCCCCCTCCCCCCACCAACTCCCCTTGGGCCCCCCAAAAGTCTTCTCCCAATTTAATGACCTCTCTTTTTCAGGGACCCCCCCCCCACTCCCCACCCTCGAGTTGAATTAGTGTTGCCCCTGTGCACGCGGGGGTGGGGCCAAGCCTCTGAACAATGGCAACTTATCAGTAGTGGTCGCATGTCCAACGAAAAATGACTCTTCGTTCCTCCGCGGCCATTAACTGCCACTCGCTCCTCAGCAAGGGGTGGGGACTTCATGAGCTCATGAGTGGGGTGGGGACTTCATGAGGACTTCCCACCTCTGTAGGAATTGTGCCTGGCTTGACCTCGTGCAGGTCTCCTGCAGGCAGCCACGCCTGCTGTGAGTTTGGGGATGCAGCGGCCATGTCCTGTCCAGAGGACAGCATTTCACAACACCCCTCCCCATCCCCCACCTCTGATATTCTCTCCTCCCCATCTTCCCCAATGGTCTCGGAGAGGAGCTGACTCTAAGGTCCCATTTAGGTCTGAGCACTCAGCAGTCACCGGCCCCCAGCACTTAGAACAGTTACGAAGCCTCTGCATTGATTGCTGCCCACAGCAAGGAGAAACTTCCCTGACCGTGGTTGAGAGCAGCACCTATCTGTGGGCATACATATGAATATTTAGAAAGCAGTTTGACCATGTGAACATTTAACAAAACAGCAGCGGTCAGCTCCCGCCACCCCCTACCCCGCAGGGCCCGTGACCTCCCTAGCCTTACGCTTTGACCAGGTGCACAGGACCAGGCACAAATTCCCGCCTGCGGAGCAGGTTTCATATCCAATGAGAAAGCAGTTGATTACACCTATATCAGTCATGCCATGCTTGGGCATATCTTGCCTGGAAGGTTGGTATTATAGCATTCGATATCCACCACTGGAAAAGATCACTGATGAAGACAGACACTTTTACACAGTATTTATTAGTGGTTATTCAGGCTTTGTGACAATGTGGTAGTATTTGTCCCAAATACTGATGTGTGTATCCTTTTCTTCAGCAATTCTATCTGTGAATTTTCCCCCACAGATTTATTTTTGCATATGCGAAACACGTTATAATTTTTATAATAGTGTAATACTGGGAACCACTCAGGTGGGCATCCTTAGCAGCCTGGCTTATTAACATGGCATGGATATATATACAGCTGTGAAAAAGGTCAAGGAAGCTCCATATGAATATTAAATTATTTTATGTGATTAAAATCAAGGTACAGAGGGATATATGTATATTCTCAGATTTATATAAACTCTACAGTTATGCCTATTTATCTATACATAGATAATTAGAGATTATAAAAGGAACTGGTAACAGAGTTGACCAATAGCAATTAGATGGGGCAAGACCCAGGAAAAAATTGGCAGGGACAAAGGGGAAACTTATAAATCACACACACACACACACACACACACACACACACACACACACACGGCTTTTAAATCCTATTCCTTAAAAAAAATTGATATTTTCTCTATTTCCTTTACTTCCTTCATGTTTCCAAGGCGACATGGGAAGGCCAGAGGTAGTGATGAAGAGAATGACCCGGATGATGAAGATGCCATTGCTAGTGCCGTGGGATGCCTTGGACCTTTCAGTGGGCTCCTGGCACCTGAACTGCAAAAGTACCAGAAGCAGATTAAAGGTAAAGCGGGGCCCTTCCTTCGTATCATGGTAGAGTGTTGGTTCACTCAAAAAGGGCGTTATGACTATGCATGGAGATCCCTAGGGGTTCTGACTGACTGCCGCCATTCATGGTCTTTATAAATATATTTTCTCCGTGGGTTTATCTTTTGGCAGGGCCTGTCTGTATCTCATGTTGCCCACACAGGACCCCTTTCATTTCCTTTAGGGCAACTCTTGCTTCCGCTTGTCCGGGTTCAGCTTTGCCTGGTGTACAGCGTATTCTTGGTGCATCCTCCTGGGGTTGAATTCGGTTCCCTGCAGACTGGCTCTCTTCTACATTAGGACTGAGTATTTTAGTTTCTCGATGACAAGAAACTCATCATTTCACAAGCCATGACTAGCTTCTCCCCTTAGCTTTGGCTTCCTACCGCTCTGAACAGTTAGTTCTTCCTTCAGAAGCTGCAGAGAGAGTTTGCCTCCTTTGCTACCTGACATCTCCCCAGCCCTTGAGGACGGCTCTCACGTCTCCCAAACCTCTCACGTCTCCTAAACCTCTCACGTCTCTTAAAGGCCCATGTTTGGAGTGCCTACCTGCCTGCCTGCCTACCTCTTTCCTTCCTTTCTCTCCCACCTCCTCTGTCTTTAGTGCTGGGAACTGAACCTAAGACCTCCCACATGCTAGGGAAGTAAGGGCTCTACCACAGAGCTGAGGTGCCAGCCCTCTTAAAGAGGCCGTTTCTCATAAGATAGCACTCCGTCCGTACCTTCCTATGAATCCACCCTACACGGGCTATGATTTGGTATTGTCTCTCTTAAATGTGGTGCTCTGAATCAACGGCCACGCTTTATTTTCCTCACAGAAATGACTTCCTGTGGGCCGGGCAGGGCAGTCTGATGAGCCTTTGGAAGCAGCCCATAGCTTTCCCCACGGGTCATTTTCCGTCTGGGGTGGCAGTTCTGTCTTAGAAAATGTAGTCTACCTCTTCTAATTAAGAGGCCGATTCTCTTATCCAAAGAGGACAGCAATGACACACAAGTCCCTCTGCATTATCTTTGCCACCTGCCAACTTTACTCTTGAGACTATTGGGCTGTCTTGTCATTCATTCATTCATTCATTCATTCATTCATTCATTCATTCATTCATTCATTCATTCACTCATCCACTCATCCATCCATCCATTTATTCAGAAGCTGATAATGGTGGCTGCTCATATTGCCTTTTGGTTGTGGTAGTTTGACTATTTTACCCAGCCTGGACTCCTTTTGAGATTGTTTGAGACAGTCTTTGTCTTTGTTACTTTTCTATTTCTGTGATAAGACACCATGACCAAGGCAACACATAGAAGAAAGAGTTTATTTGGGGTTTACAGTTTCAGAGCGTTGAGTCCATGACCAAAAGCGTTGAGTCCATGACCATCACGGCAGGGAGCATGGCATCAGGCAGGCAGGCTTGGGGTGGGAGGAGTAGCTAAGAGCTCATGTCATGAGACAACCACAAGGCAGAGAAGGCACGTGGAGAATGGTGAGTCCTGAAACCTCAAAGCCTGTCACTGGTGACACACCCTCTCCAACAAGGCCACACCTCCTAATCCTTCTGAAACAGTTCCACCAGCTGGGGACTGCTGTACGATATTTTGTTTGTGTTCTGACAAAGCTTGCCTGGAGATCAGAGGGTGGAGCTAGCCACTAGTTAACCTTAGAGGCCAGGCGCACACCTTTAATTCCAGCACTTGGGAAGAGGAAGCAGGAAGATGAGAAGTTCAAGGCCACCCTGGGCTATACAAAACTGAACCAGTCTAAAAGTGAAACAGAGGTGGGCAGTGGTGGTGCACGCCTTTAATCCCAGCACCAGGGAGGCAGAGACAGGAATATAAGGTGGGTAGAGACAGGATCTCAGGCCCCATTTAGGATGAGGATTCACAGAGGTAAGAAGTCTCGAGTGGCTGCTGTTCTGTGTTGTTAGTATTTTACTATTCTGGGGGGCCTGCCACCCAGCTCCCTAATAAATTCACACACGGAGGCTAATTCTTAATTATGAATGCCCGGTCTTAGGTTGACTTAGTTTCTAGCCAGCTTTTCTTAACTTATCCCATCCACCTTTTGTCTCTGGGCTTTTCCCTTTCTCTTACTTCTGTAAATCTTACTTTTAACTCTATCACTTGCTGTGTAGCTGAGTGGCTGGCCCCTGGAGTCCTCCTCTGGCTGCTAGATGTTTTTTTCTCTCCCAGATTTCTCCTTCTATTTATATTCTCTCTGCCTGCCAGCCCCACCTACCCTTTCTCCTGCCTTGCTATTGGCCATTCTGATCTTTATTAGACCATCGGGTGTTTTAGACAGGCACAGTCACACAGCTTCACAGAGCTAAACAAATGCAACATAAACAGAATTAACACACCTTACAATATACTCTGCTACAGCTCTGCTTCTCTGATCTTTCAGCTTTCACCCTGATATTTGACTCCGGATTTTTATTGATAAGCCTCATTAGATTCACACTACAGGGGACTAATTATTCAAACATAATGAGCCTATGGTATCAACATTCTCATTTAGACCACCACAGCCTCCTATATGCTGGACATACCTCCCCGTTCCAGGTGCTGAGATTACAGGCATGTACCTCCATGCTGAGTTTATATGGTGCCGAGGGCTGACCCTGGCGCTCTGTGCACACCAGGCAAGCACTGTGCCAGCTGAGATGCACGCCCAGCTTCATTTGGACTCCTCACCTACTTGAAGACTGGGGCTCACGTATAGAAATTCGTTGAGTTGTATAGACTTCGGGTCCGGCTAATTTTGGCATATGATGTTTTTTGTTTATTTGCAAGTTTTTTTTTTAAATAATAAAGTTTATAAAATGTAAAACAAGTTTCACTGGGGGGAAGAAGGGTAGGTTCGCGCTGCTTTGTGGGTATGTCCACGATGTGTACTCTTCTGTCATCTTTTTTTTTTTTTTTTTTCGAGACAGGGTTTCTCTGTGTAGCTTTGCGCCTTTCCTGGAGCTCACTTGGTAGCCCAGGCTGGCCTCGAACTCTTCTGTCATCTTTTAAAACAACCATTGGGAAATCTGAGCCCAGCAAGGTTCCTCTTGATTTCTATAATGCCTTCTGCACCCTTTCTCGTCTGAATTTCAGGTTTTTGGTTTTTAGACATGGAGTCAATTATTAATGGTAAAGTTTTTTTTTTTTAAATTTATCATTACTTTGATATATAACTTTTTATTGGTCTTTTTTGTTTTTAAAGTTTTATTTTATTCATGTGTGTGTATGTATCTGCTTGAGTACCTGTGTACATATGTTTGTGTCTGAGTACCTGTATACATACATATATGTGTGGATGCCTATGTACATGCAGAGGCCAGAGGGTTGTCAGATCTCTCAGAGCTGGAGTTACAGATGTTTGTGTGTCTGAGCTACATACATGTGTTCTGAGATCTGAACTCTGGTCTTATAATCACTCAGCAAGCACTCCTAACCATTAAGCCATCCCCCAGGGCTAAAGGTTTTGAATCTCTGGTCTTAGCCTATGGTCAGTTTTTCTTTCTGTGCATTTACAGACCAGAGTGGCCATCAGTTTCTCATAAATCGTGCTTTCTATTGGTTTTGTTCAGCTTATCCATTATTTTAATTTTCTTTTCTATTACAAATGAAGTAAATTCACAAGATGCCCAGATTTTCGCTGGAGACAGTCTCAGCAGTTATTAGCACAGCTGAAATATCTGTCTGTCTTCCATTGGTTGCCAGACTCACTTTTATATATTGCTTTAGAGAAGTCTGGTTTTCTCTCTGGTCACCGAGGGAGCCTGTGAGTGCGCATGCTCACCAGAGCAAATGGTCTCTTTTTTTGGGGTGCAATCTTGATTTTAATGAAGGGAAAGTTCTAGTTGTAGATGTCACAAGGTCAGAAACTCTATTAAACATAACATCCATGGCAGACGATCAGAACGTGCTTGTTAAAGGTGCAAAAGGATTTGCTTCTGGCACAGTGCTCCGACGTCTCATACATTTATAAAAGATGTTTTTAAAAATGTCATAGTAAAGCCTATGAATGGTTAATCCCTTTTACATTCTTATGCAGACGTGAGGACGTCCATACAGTGATTATCATAGGACATCTTGATACTGTATTTTTCTGAGGGATTTTTAGAAAGTGGTATCGATTTTTTTACCTGGAGTTAGCTGATCTTATGTCTACATCATGGAGAAAGCGGCCACAAAATCAATGCTCCTCAGAGCCCGTTTCAGACCCGCAGGCTCGTTAGGGAGGGGCTGGAGCAAATCAAAGCAAGCACTGGGTGAATTCTAGAGGGTGGTTTCCTGGCTTAGGATTTCTCGGAGGCTAAGGCACTATACCGGATGTGGGGTGATCTGCTCCCATGGGCTCGGTTCCGCTCCGCTGACCCTGTGTTCCTTCCCTGTGGTGCAGAAGTGAGTGAGGAACAGAGCCTGAGGTCCAACAACATTGCGGAGCTGAGCCCGGGAGCCATCAACTCCTGTCGGAGCGAATACCACGCGGCGTTCAACAGTATGATGATGGAGCGGATGACCACGGACATCAACGCCCTGAAGCGGCAGTACTCGCGAATTAAGAAGAAGCAGCAGCAGCAGGTCCATCAGGTGTACATACGGGCAGGTAATGGGATGCCTTCATCGGCGTGGGCAGTGTGACCCTAGGATGGCCCCAGAGTTCTCATAGCTGTGGCAGGTAACCCGGCAAGAGTAAAGCAAGGGATGACTTTTTGTGATGGCTCACTGTCCGTCGTGGAGTAGAAAGCCAGGTGACGAGGGTGGCCGTAGCTGGGGCAGCAGGCGTGAGAGCAGCCGTCACATTGCACCCAGAGGCGCAGAGCAGAGAGACATGTGTGCTGACACTCGGTTGACTTTCTTCTCCCCCCTCCCCTTTTATTCAGTCCAAGACCCCAGCCCAAGGTCACTTCAGGGTGGGTCTTCTCCTCAGGGAACCTCCCTGGACACCTTCACAGACATGCCTGGAAGTGTGTCTCCCAGGTGACCCCAAGTCCAGTTGGTGATGAAGATGAGCCATCATGTCCCCTACCCATAAGCCAGCTGGTCCCAGAGAGTAGCATTATTAGAACCTCACGTTCTCAACTTTATTTTTATCAGGGTGTAAAGAAGAAAAGGACCTTGGGTTCTTTTTAGGCCCCAAGGAGCAGGCTGTGGATGGTATTATATCCCCTTTACTATGTGTGCTTGTCAAGAGGGATGTACAAATGATGAAAATGGTGCTGAGCTGTGCAATCCTTGGACTTGAGAAATCTTTTTTTTTTTTTTTTAAAGATTTATTTATTTATTATGTATACAGTGTTCTGCCTGCAGGCCAGAAGAGGGCACCAGATCTCACTACAGATGGTTGTGAGCCACCATGTGGTTGCTGGGAATTGAACTCAGGACCTTTGGAAGAACAAGCAGTGCTCTTAACCTCCGAGCCATCTTTCCAGCCCCCGGACTTGAGAAATCTTAGAAGTTCAAACTCGTGGGCCAGTGGGGTGACACACAGGTTTGAGGTGCTTTTGCACACGTCACGGATGGCCTGAGTTCAGTCCCTGGGCACGACAGAGAAAGACTCCAGAAGCTGTCCTCTGACCTGCATGTGTGTGCAGTCGTCCGCCTCTGCCTCTGCCCACGTGACTCTGTGCACAGGAAAACAGATAAGCCATAGGAAACTTAAACATTTGAAAATGGAGTTTGGTCATCTGCTCACTTGCAAATTAAACCAGGTAGAAATTCAGCAGATGTTCTGATCGTGGAAGATAGGAGAGGGGAAAATGAAAACTTGCGTCTCACCAATACGCCGGCTCCCAGGGTCTCGGCGGTGAGCAGAGGGAGATCAGTCTGTCATGCCATCGGTTGAAATGCTCTTTTCCAAGGATTGTCAAGCTTCTTTTTGTCTTTTATAATCTCCCAAATCATATCAAACAATCGGCCTTGCTGTTTAATCATATATGCTGATTGGGGAGTGGGTCTCCTGTTCCTAATGAACATGTTGCCCTATCCAGAGTTCACAAAGACATAAATTTGGCACGTGGCTTCTGAGCATGTGACTGATCACTTTGGACAAAAACTGAATTCACCCTCAGGAGAAATAGGGAAATCTTGAAGACTCTAACTCCACTTTGAATCATCAAGAAAGCAAACATGAGCATACATTGTCATTCTAAAGGAGAGGATGGGGGGACATGGTGCGAAAAGATTGGACCAAAACAAAACTAAAAACCAGCACAGGAAACACCAAATCCCGCAGCTCTGTCTCTGATGACTGGGACATCAAAGGCTTAGATGGCTGGTTTCCTCTGCAACTTCTCATACACATCGCGCGCTGGTTGCTCTGCTCCCTATATGCAGCTCCCTATGGCAGAGGTCTCATAGTTGAGATCGCCAGCGTCGTGTGGACTCAAGATGCAGCCCAGGCTTCATCTCCACAACTTCAGGCCATGAGCTCTCACAGTCTTCTCGTGGGGCTCTGACTCTGCCAGCCAGCAGATTGCAGCCGCAGTCCAGAACAGAGCAGTGGCAGGTTCCGGAGGACGCTGCTTTCTGAGACTGGAATGTGCCCACAGACCTGTAAATGTGCATAAACACACGCATGCACAGTCCACACTCAGGAGTGATAAAGGGAGGCAGGGAGGCCAGTTCCGAACCCAGGCTTCAGGAGGCTCCCACTCACTTCCTTTCTCTGTTCACCAGCTTCTGTCTTCTAGAGAGCCTTTCTCCCTTATCAACAAATTGGCTCTACTTCTACTGAAGAAAAAAAAAAAGCAAGCAAGCAAGCAACCAGGAAAGAACTCACAACAGCAACATTGACCCAAACATTTCTTTGCTTTGACCTTAAATCTTTAAGGAAGAGTTAACACGTGTCCCGGGTTTACAGCAGTTGTGGGTGGTCAGGCCAGGGTGAGAGATAGGGCATTGTCTTTGAGGGCATGGTGAACCCATTTATTGACACACTGTTCAAGGCTGCTTTTATGCCACAGTGGTTAAAAGATTTACAGACTAGAAAGTTCCCTGGTCCCCGCTATAGACCGCGATTCCAGTGTGTAGCGTGAATCTTTAAAGTTCTTATTAATAAAATCAAATCCGAGGCCAGTTATTGGGGTCAATGCTGGTAGATCAGAGAAGCAGAACAAGCCACAGCTATCTCACCTGGCCAACTTCTCAGCTGGTCCTGTGTCCTCAGATTGGAGAACTCTGAGTCCTCATCCAGAATGAGTCTCAGCTGAACTGTGCTGCTAGAAGCCTGAAAGCTTAACCAGCCAAAATGCTTAACCAGGCCAAACGCTTCTAGTTTCTGGTCCTCACACCTTATATACCTTTCTGCTTTCTATCACCACTTCCTGGGATTAAAGGCTTGCTTTCTGGGATTAAAGGCGTGATGAGTCACCATGCCTGGCTGTATCCTTGAACAGATGGATTTCTGCCTCTGGAATGCTAGGATTAAAGGCGTGTGCTACCACTGCCTATCCTTTATGTTTAATATTGTGGCTGCTCTGTCTCTGACCCCACATAAGTTTATTAGCATGCACAATATTTGGGGGACTACAATACCACACCAGTGGGTCTCCTTAAGTCCGGGGAGAGCTTGCTGCCCAGAGGCAAAGTTACAGAGCATCGGCTCCCCAATTTTAGGGGCCCCGTAAAGTCGTTTAGATTGGCTGAAGTTCAGGATGTGTTTCAGCAAGTTCGCTGGCTGGTGGTGCTTCAGCTCCTGGGGGGGGGGGGGGGGGGGGGCTGGACGTGGAGGTTTTGGAGGGGATGGCAGAAGATGGGAGGAGCCACGCAGGCGATCTTAACTCACAGCGAAAGACCTCAGCTTCTGAGAATGGAAGGTGGTAATATGGATAGTCCTTGAGGTTGTAGATGTAATTATAAATGGTCTTATTAAGTAAGAAACACAGAGCCAAATACAGAGTTAAAAGCCCAGAGATCAGAGCAGCAGCCAAGAGCTAAGACCACCTTCTCTTAACACTGCTTAACTTAACTCGCTGCCGTCCTTCCCTTGAGAGAGGGACCTTCCTGTGTCTTGTCTTTTTATTGCCTTTCTGTTCTGTCTTCTCATTGGTTCTAAACCCAACCACATGACTTCCTTGTCACTGCCTGTCTATACAGACCTCCAGGTCTCTATGGTTCGTACTCAGATTAAAGGCTCTGGTCACCCCTTGGCTGTGTCCTTGAACACACAGAGATTCTGCCTGCCATGTGATCGGATTAAGGACATGTGCCACCACCACCACCACCCAACTTCAGCCAAATGGCTTGCTCTTAGCTCTGATCTCCAGGCAACTTTATTAACATACAAATAAAATCACATTTCAGCACAAATAAAATATCACCATATGAGGTACCAGATTCCCAGGGCAGGGAGGGCCTGAGGTACCAGGTTCCTAGGGTAAGGAGGATAGGAAGTCAAGGTCTTTCAGACCTGAGAGCCCCTGTTTTCTTGGGAAAATTAGGAGAAAAATTAGAAAGTTAGGAAACACCCTTCAACGGCATGCCCCTGGTAACCCACTTCTACAGTTTCAACCACCACCAAGTAGTTGATGCAACTGAACATTCTTTGAGGGACAGTGATGGAATCTACCAGCTGCGGACCAAGCCCTTCATACAGGAGTTTTGGGGAGACTATACCCCATCCAAACCGTAACATATCTCCAGCCTCCAGTGCTCTCTTCTCTGAAGAGGAGGAATTGGGCATCACAGGCTAGGGTTTGATTCAGTTTCCACTGTCCTCAGTCACATGCCTCTGCCAGCACCTGGGAAGTCCATGGGGAGAAAGAAGATTCTGGGGAGAGCTCTGTGAGATTGCCATGAAGGTAGACGCGTCTTTGCGCGGGGGCGCGTGTTTCTCACGGTCTTTCCCACCTTTTCTTTCAGACAAAGGACCAGTCACCAGCATCCTTCCATCTCAGGTAAACAATTCTCCGGTGATAAATCACCTCCTGCTAGGGAAAAAGATGAAGGCGACACACAGAGCAGCCAAGAATGCAGTCATCCACCTCCCCGGCCACGCAGGAGGCAAAATGTCGCCCGTCCCCTACGAAGACCTCAAGACAAAACTCAACTCTCCGTGGCGGACGCACATCAGAGTCCACAAGAAGAGCATGCCGAGGGCCAAGAGCCATCCGGGCTGTGGGGACACCGTAGGGCTGATAGAAGAGCAGGGTGAAGGCTGTAGGGCGGGCAGCCTGGGGGCGGCTGAGGAATTCCCTTCCCCTTGTGCGGCGGGGGCGGCGGCTGCAGCGGCTGCAGCTCATGGCGAGGGCGGCGGCTGTGACGGCGGCGGCGGCGGCGGCGGCGGCACCCCGAGGACGATCGAAGGGCAGTCTCCGGAGCCAGTATTTGGGGACGCTGACGTTGTGGATGTGGCCGCGGTGCAGGTGAAACTAGAAGCCTTGGAACTGAACCAGAGGGATGCCCCCGCAGAAACGGAGCCCAAGGCGCACCTCCCCTGCCAGCGGCACGCCCCGGAGTCCGCCTGTGGCCCTGGAGAAAACCAGGCGACCAGCAAACCTCCCCCGGGCGGCAGCTCCAAAACTACCATCTTCAGTCCCTTCCCTAGTGTGAAGCCGCTCCGAAAGTCAGCCACGGCCCGGAATTTGGGGTTGTATGGCCCTACGGAAAGAACCCCCACCATGCACTTCCCTCAGATAAGCCGGAGCTTCAGCAAGTCGGGCATTGGGAGCAGCAGCAGCAGCAGCACCAAGAAGCGGTGATGCCTCCCTGCGGCGGCGGCGGCGGCGGCTCAGTGTCTGGACTCACGTGGCACGGTGGTGTTCGCCTGCCTGCCCTTCCTGTTTGGTTTGTCCAGTGAAAAATGAATGGAGAGGTTTGGAGCCCAGCACCAACAGCCCATCCCATTGGGAATCGGAAGTTTCACGGTGGGAACCAGGGTGGGGACCTTGCCTACCCACCGGGTAGCCGGTGAAGTGGATTCTCGTGACTGAATAAATCGTGTGCTTCTCAAGTGTGGAGTTCCCCCAATTTTCCTTGTGAGCTCTTTAGATAAGACAACTTGTAGACTGTTAAGCCCTCCTCTGGCCTTCTCGGGGCCTTTTTGGAATCCCTGAAACAATATCATATTCCCCTGGCCTTCCTGTCCTCTGGACATCACAAATACTCAAAGCATGAACGAACATACCAGCTTGCTAGAACCGAAACGGTAGAAAGTAAGTTTCTTAGTTGCAAAAAAAAAAAAAAAAAAACAACGTCCCGAAGTTCCTCTTTCTGCTCTGTTGGAGAGGGCAGGGAATTTGTGTGTGTATGATGAGTGTGTGTGTGTGTGTGTGTGTGTGTGTGTCTCCTTTACCACCTGTCTTCAAACTGTTTTTTATTCTTATGCCGAAGCATAGCCGAAAAATCAAGATAGCCTTTCTTGACCTTTCTACTTGTACCTGTGAAAAGAAAACCGTTCAGTCAGTTGAAATCAATAACCAGTTCCAAGAGCACACGCAGAGACACACCCCGTGGGCTATGCACCTGAACTGCCTGCTGATTCCAGCCCTTCCTGAGGCTCGTTTTCTTCTCTCAAGGACTCGGTGAGCTCTGTGTGCGTCCTCCAGACGGACGTGGTTCCTACACCTACCAGCTCTCTCCACTGCAGACGCACAGCGCCTTGCCAGTAGCCGGAACGCAGCACCCGGGACTCTTGTTACTTGAATTTGGGGCTTTTGGGGTTGGAGTGCTTTGCTACTTGAACACTGCCTTTCTCTGGAGAAGGTCTCAGCTCTTTTCTCTCAAGTTCCTCTCTCTCATTTCACTCCTGTCCGGGTCCCAGCAGGTCAGAGGTAGTACCTCTTGTCTCCACTATGCAGTCGGGAACTCTGTGCCACACACAGGGAGAGTGGCACTTTGGTGACTATTTACTTTGGTAAATAACCCAGAGTCTCCTAGGACCTCACCGGGTGTCTTCTAGTACGATAAGCTGGCTCACTGTTCTTTGTCCACGTCCCCTGGCCACAGAGCTTGTCTGAGCCAAGACGGGGAAGCCATTCACTACACAGCCTCCTGACTCTAAGGCGCTTTCTATAGACTCCTGGAACGGTGTTTACAGAAGGAGCTGCGAAACCTTCTCCTCACGAAAACGGAGTTCCTTTTCAAAACGCTTCATGCACCGCTCCTGTGGCTGGACGGAGAGCTGCCTGCCCACTCAGTCTCCACCGTCATTAGTGGAAAAGAGTGACTGACACCTTTCCCTCCGTCTCGGGAAGACTTTGGCAGTTCTTGCAGGAATAATACCGTTGAAGCTGTCAGCGTTCATTTCAGCAAGTCGGTTTGCTAATTCTGAAGCCAGAACTGGTTTCAGAGGGGGCTTTTTACAATGAGAATTACTCATTTTTTTTTTTTTAAATAAGATCGTGGAATTGTGTGGGCTTTTTTTTCCGAAGGAAAAACCTCTACAGGAATGACACATTGCATCCCCTACATGGTATTTTTGCTCCAAAGGAACCTGAAAATGCAATGAATCGCTGATAAGTTGTCACAGTTTGGGCCTTGAAGTTCTATCTGAAGTTAGCAGGGCCTTCTCAACAGGCAGCCATGTTCTTCCTAGGCCTGGGGAAGGATGTGTGTGTTGGGGGGGCATCGGGCTTTCTTTGCATAGCACCCCCAGGTGATGGGACCCACTGTTTCCAAAGCTAAGCACAAGAAAAGGATTCCTTTTATCCACTAAACTTCAGATAACAAACTGTCTCTTCAACTTTTCTCTTGATGATCCCAAATAAGCAACCCCAACTCCCCCTTCCCGCCCTCCCCCGTCTGTCTGTCTGTCTGTCTGCCGTGTGTGACTTGAATAGTAAAGTGTTCACTCTCTACCAAGCTCCCTGGCTCCCTGAGGGTCTGGGTGTGTGGAGCGGGGGTGGGGGAGGGTGGGGGGAGGTGGGTAATCAGGTGGGACTGCCTACCAGCCATTCTATCAGTATCCGCTCTCCCTTATGTCTGGAGAAAGAGGCGAAAGAGACGGCACAGGGTATGGGGTGAGTTATCCATTGAACAGTTGAATGGAAAATGGTCTTCTTTGCAGCAAAAAATGACCACGTCAATTTAGAAAACCCAGCAGATTCCCGTTAAAGCTCTCTGTACCAAGACCGTGCATGCACCGTATACCACAAGTAATCACAATGTGAACCGGCCGACTTCTCAGCCTTGCCTCTTAGGACAAGAGCTCCGCCGCCGCCGTCACGGCCTCTCCCACACAGCATGCACCAAGGCCTTTGCGCACCGGCCGTCTTCCCCGCGATTCGGGCACCGTATGCAAACACACCGGGAGAACTTAACCGTAGGAGTTTGTCTCCACGTCTGCCTGTATTCTCTGAGCACTTTTTTTGGGGGGGAGTCAACACTGCACCTCAGTCCTCTCTCAAAGCCACTAACTAGATCTACACCTAGTTTGTAATGTCGACCCATGGCTGTAACTGTTTGGAACGATGTTCTCCTTTGCTCTCTCTCGTCTCGTTCTGATGAACTGTTACCGATGACAGAGATATATGCATAAAGTTTCTCACTGTTGTAGCCGTCATTGTAGTCGTGTGGTTTTCTACCCCAGTGCGCGGGGACACAGGGCCGTGGCGTTCCTTTCTCCCGGTCATCCCTCACTGCTTTCTCTCCTACATCCCACCCGGTCACAGGAATCAGGGAATCGGCTCCGTTTCCCCCCATTCTCATCACTGGGTCACAGGGTTCGCTGTCACTTGCCCAGAATGGAACAGAAGAGCAGGCTCCTGAGAAGTGGGCAGACGGAGGGCAGCAGGGAGCGAGAGAGAATACGTGTATATGGTGGACATGTAAATTGACTTTTAGACCTAACCATTTTACTCTGGTTAGTCAAAAGAGAACACTAATACGAATTTACCCCTTGGTCTTTCAAGAAGTCCGCGTGAACTGAGAACTAGCATCCAGAGTCCAGCTGTTACCACCTCTCCGCATAAACTCTTCTGTAATTTCCAAACCGCTTTCTTTGGCAGCATTCCAGAGACACCATTTTTTCCTAATTAGAAAAGTGGCGTGTTTTGGAGACTTTAGGAAAATACAAGGTTTCATTCATGTTTGGGCATAGATCTTTCAGTAACTGTGAGCGCGCGTGTGCGCGTGCATGCTTCACACTGTTTCCAGGGATTGAACTCAGGTCACCAGGGCTGATTCTGGTCGGCAAAGTCTGTAGTCACGGAGCCGTTGCTTTACAGCTGTGGATGGGAGGTGTTCCTGGATGGCGGCTCCCCGGTAAAGGTGGCCTGTGCTCACTGTGCTGGGGAATGGACGGGGGCTGGCAGACGCAGGTAGCAAACGACACTCCCAGGCCACAGTGTCGGACAGTCCAGAGTCTGCGATGTACCAGGCAGGTGTCCGTCAATGGTCAGGAACCTAACTGCCTTGCTCAGGATACCGAGGGTCTTGACCCCACCGCCACAACCAGAGACCACAAACTGAGGGGCCTCAGCAACAGACGTTCTCCTCTCATGGTTTTGAAGTTAGAGGAGGAGGTCCAAGGTCAAGGTGCTGGCAGGTGTGGTGTCTAGTGAGGAAGCTCCTTCTTCTTAGTTTGTAGGTGAACAGGTGTGTATGTGTGTATGTATGTGTGTAGGGGGGGGGAGGCAGTGTTGCATATTCTACCCATGTCCTATCATATCGCCGCCAGGGTGATCTTTGGAAAATTAAAACAGTTAACAGGCCCATCTTCCTATTACTCTGATTTTCTGGAGGATGAGAAAGCAAAAGCGTTAGCATGGTCCAGACCACGGATAATTGATTCTCTAGACTGTTTGCTCATTATCGGTCCCCTTTGTCATTCTTGACCTAGCACCCTCGGAACAGTCCCATTGACCATTTGTCTGGCTTCTGTGGGTCGGGCATTGTTCTGGCGTCATCCCGTGTGTGCAAGCTCCTGGGTCCCTCGAGGAACGCTGGGAAGCCTGGGATCACTCACTCTCCCAGGTGATGAAGCAGGGCAGTTAGGTTCCTGACCATTGACACCTGCCTGGTACATCGCAGACTCTGGACTGTCCCACACTGTGGCCTGGGAGTGTCGTTTGCTACCTGCCCGACAAGCAGGCGCGTTAGTTAGTCTTGTGTTAAATTGTGACAAATACCTGAAACAGTCAGAGAAGAGAAGCTTTGTCTTGGCTCATGCTTCCAAAGCCTTCTGTTGATGGTTGATTGGCCTTTGTGGCAAGATGGTGGTAATGGTGAGAGCAAAATCACTTAACCTCATGTCCAGGAATCAAAAGAAAAAAGATAGACGCCTACAGCCCCTTCAAGGGCACACCTCAATGACCTGGAGACCTCCTACTAGGCCGCTTTGAACGTTTCCACCTCTTCTCAGATAGCACCCCGCCACTCCTGGGCTCTTCTTATGAACTTCCAGGGAAACAGACTCCCTTGGTCCTACTGGATTTGAACTTGGGAGGGAAAGGGCCTAAAAAGTGCTGCCCACAGCTGTCTTGCGCCCCCGAGAAGGCAGGCGTGTTGGAGAAGAGTGGAGCTGAGGAACAGGGCAGGCTCTTTCCCAGTCAGCTAAGCTCTGCATCAGACGTGCGCCATTTCGTGCCAATACCTTTCGTGACATCAGTTACCGTTCCCCTTCTTGGGGCTGGCGAGTTGGGTCACATTCTCTGTCACTAGTGTGGGAAAGCACTTCCTGGTGGCAGAGACATCACGGCAGTTACGGATTAGAAAGGTGCGTGGGGTGTGGGGGAGAATCCACGATGTTTGTGGTGACAGAAACCTCTTCTGAGCTCTTGTGTCCTCTATCCTTGTAACAGAAAATGTGGGGCAGTGAGGACGGGGGGAGCTTCAGGAGGAGCATGCTGTCTTTGGGCCCCTTGAGCCGCTGTTGGCCTTTTTTCTTCTCTCATCCCCTCTTGTGGGAGATGATGCTAAGGCTGAGCCTGACCCTCTGCACCCTGCTCCCGCCCCCCCCCCGTCCCCACCCCCACCCCCAGCCCGTGTCTTGTGGCCATACCAGCTGCTTTCATGGGTGAGGAGAGTAGACGGACTGAAAGCAACCAAGAGCAGTTTGTTTGTTGTTTTTATTTTTCTCCAAATTCAACAAAATTTAGGAGCCTCAGCAGCATATTTGTGGGAGTGGAATTTGAGGGACATGCATTTTACCTTCCTTGGTGGCCAGGAGGCTTCCCCAGAAAGTGTCATGTGCCTCTGATGGTGTCTGCAGGGTAGCAAGAGAGCTGAGTGGGGCTGGGCCTCTCCGGCCCTGGGGTGCTGAGCAGAGTGATGGGAGCATTCATGGGAAGCAAGCTTGCTTGGAAACACACGAGGAAGACCTCCTGAAGAGTGAAAGTAAACCTTGTCCACACCAAAGGAACAGGAGGACGTGGAAGCCTTGTGCCTGAATCACTGATGTGAATGAGATCTTACCCGGACCGAAAGGTGCCAAGGTGTGAGGGAAGCTGAGTTACCCAGGATGTAGGTGACGAACTCTACAGATGTCTATGCATCAGAACTGGAAATAAGGGGGGATGCTTAAAGGTACCGAATGCAACGTGGCATGCTGCTGTTCCTACATAAAATACTACTACCACCAATAACAAAATCAACAAAAACCTCCAGAATATATAGGTGCTTCAAAAAGTGATGGCATGAGGAAGGGGTGATCATGAATCCAGGGATCATTGTCTCTGGGAAGCGGGGAAAGTCTAGTGAGGGACATCATCAAGTATTTAACTAAGTGTCAGATGGCAGGCTTTCTTTTCCATTTGAAATCTGGCTGATATGTTTATGTCAACTGAAGATGGAGTCCCAAATATACCAGAATGTTATTTTCCTGGAAATCCTGAAGTCTGTTTTCAGATTCCTTTATCCAATACACAGCAAGACTATCCAGGTTTCGCCGTCCACAGGAAGGTGTTTAGCCTGTGTGTTGGGTTGCCTAAGATCTCACTAGTTCGGAGTTGCTGTAATTTTAGTTTCAGTTGGAACATTAGTGTGAGTTGAGGGGTTATATCAATAAGTTCACTTTCACCGCAAAGACAGATAGATGTTCAGCTCATTGAAATGAGTGGTTAGATCCACTAAAAATGAAAAGTAGGTAAGCCAGTTTTCATCAAGTTCTGGCCGAATTTTGCTCCTGATGCCACCCATAAACAACTCGACAACATGATCACAAATAATAAAACCTTTTTGACATTTGGTCCTGACTTAGTCAATTTTCCTCAGAAAAGCAAATGACGTCACCATAGTTACCATCAACCATGTTAAGGAATTGTTAGAATGGGTGACGATTTAGTTGCCAGGCTCTCATGAGATGCAGTCTTGACTAGTCACACAATACTGTTTGCTTTTAATGCTTTCAGGCATACAATTCTTTATGTTTCATGTAATGATGATGTTAAGCCTGAGTTTTGCATGGTCCTTGAATTGCCTTTTACTGGTTTTTGAAGTTCTGGGGCATCACCAGTCACTGTACCAGCTATGTTGACAATGAACAAATCCCTAATGTATCTTTACTGCCTTAGGTCTCTTGATTTAGTTGTGTCTTTTAACTGTACCAAAGCTATTTCTTCGGTGACATTACATTTTTTTAAAATGTTTTTTGAGACAGGGTTTCACTGTGTAGCCCTGTCCTGGAACTCACTCTGTAGACCAGGCTGGCCTCGAACTCACAGAGATCCGCCTGCCTCTGCTGGGATTAAAGGCGTGTACCACCACTGCTCAGGTAGTGACATTACATTTGCATCAGCACTCCAAATAAAAACAGCAAGCTGAGCCATATTGGCACATCCATGCTGTCATCCAGCTACAAAGTGTAAGATTTCAAATTGGCAGCTTTACCAACCAAATTACTTTTATTAAATTAAAACAGTATATGAGTGTTTTACCGGCATATATGTCTGTGTGCTATCATTTACCTTGTTCTCCCAGGAGACTAGAAGAAGGTGTCTGGCTGGGCGGTGGTGGTGCACACCTTTAATCCCAGCACTGGGAGGCAGAGGCAAGCAAATCTCTGTGAGTTCGAGGCCAGCCTGGTCTCCAAAGCAAGTTCCAGGAAAGGCGCAAAGCTATACAGAGAAACCCTGTCTCGAAAAACAAAAACAAAAACAAAAGGTGTCTGATCATTTGGAACTGGAGTTATAGAGGGTTAGGGGCTCACTCTCTTTTGAGATGTTTTAAGAAGCCATTCCAGAATTTAAAAATAGATAAGGGACCGTGTTTACTTTATGGACAGGAACGTATCAGACTTTGGCTTTACCAGCTCTCAGCTCTGGATGCTGTGCAGGAGGTGGAGCTGATGTGTGACAGTATCCTTAATCATCAAGTAGGAATACTTCACTGTCTTATGGGCTGCTGAGATGGCTCAGTGAGTTAGGGCATCTGTTGCCAAGCCCGTGACCTGAGTTAGATTTACCAGGATCTGTCACTGACTCTGGCAAGTTGTCTTCTAACTCTCACATGTGTGCTGTGGCATGTGACCCCACCCTAAGTAAGTAAACACATAAACAATAAATGTAATTAAAGCCGGACTTCTGAGTAACTGTACACACACTGACATTTGCAGTGATAAGTT